ACAACAATAACAATAGATTAATAATGGTTGATTGGGGTTTACTATACAACCTGGCCAGCTCCGACACACGCACTTCACTTTTGTACTTTGCAATTATCTCTTTCTTCATTTCAATAGTCATTAGCACCTTTGGCACTAGAAGCTTTCTTGGGGGCCCATGGTTACTTATTTTGCAGAAACAAGCACCAAAAACAGTGATAATATGGATAATATGGAATGTACCGAATGTATCCTTAGATGCACGCACACTGGCTGGCTTGTAAACACTGGCACACATGGGGCAGTTCAGGCCACACGTGGACACGTCTCGTGCGAATCGTATCGAATAGCGGGTTTTCAATCGAATGTCGAGGCGAAATTTTTGTGTTAAAATGCATCGAATGTCGGATTTATCGAATGTCGATGCCATCGAATGTCGGGGGTCCACTGTATTTAGATGTCAAGCCAGTCAGCATAGATGACAGAGAAATTATATACAGCCTCTCCTCATTTAGTAACGCAGTATGTATTTGGTTACCAACGACTCGGACTTACTACAGGCTCTCTGACCAGTATGCATACCTAAATACATAATGTATATAAGAGATGATTTCCTCTATTCTGTTTATTACAATATGCATTACACTACTGAAAAAACATTTAAAAATATACTAAAAATGCTATGAATGGTACAAAGGTGACATAAAACAATATCAAAGATGGTTGACACAAACCCACTACCATTAAAGTATGCTCCTTGCTTAGCAGCGAATTTGTTTACCACTGTGGTTTTAGGAATGGAACTCTGTCGTTAAGTGGAACAGAATTCTTCCTCCATAAGCCAAGCGTGTCATAAGAGGCGACTAAAATACCAGGAGCAAGGGGCTAGTAACCCCATCTCCTGTATACATTACTAAAATTATAAAGAGAAACTTTCATTTTTCTTTTTGAGCCACCCTGCTTTGGTGGGATATGTGCGTTGAAAGAAAGAAGTAGTATCACTTTATTCCAGTGTAGCAAGAACCTTGCTTTCAAGGTTGCCTTCTCTCTTGATAATTCTAGTACTCATCCAGAACTCTTAGTGGATGTGCATTGGCATGTAATACAGTGGTACCTCGGGTTACGAACTTAATTCGTTCCAGAAAGCTGTTCGAGTGCCGATAGTGAACAAATTTGCTCCCCTATGGAATAATAACATTAGATTAATCCGTTTCAGACTCCCAAAAATACACTTACAAAAGCACTTACAAAAAAACACTTACATAACTGTTCGAGGTGGGAGCTGTTTATATCCCGAGGTACCACTGCACTTGTGTTTTTACCACCAATAAAAAAATCTTAGTACAACAATTGGATCATGGAATCATTGTGTAACTACACACAAATTGTGATGCAGAAAATTGTTGCAGCAATGGATGCTGACTTAGCTTGGAGTACCACATTTCTGGCTTAAATTTAACAATGTAGATGCCATCAGCTACATCAAAAGTGCATAGAACAAAGTTCACCAATCAACATTAAATGAAGGATGGGGAAAATTATGGCCTGGAGTGATGAATAATTTCACACATTTTCCCTCTGTTAAGAGTCGGGCACAGGAAGATGTGAATGAGCTCTTAGAAGGTGATCAGGAAAAACAAAGTCCAGAGGAAAAGTTAGCAGAGCTCACTGCCCAGATACAGAGGAGGAAGATAACAGATGAAGATGAGAAAGAAGAACCTGAAGAAAAACAGTGAACATTACAATTGTAATGCGAGCAGTCCCCTATTACTGGTAAAGCTGCAGACATTTTCACTGAAGACTACTAAAGCTAGAAGCACTGCTCTGAAACTGAGTCTGGAGCAGCTGTATAAAGCACTATAGGGTAAAACAAACCAAAGATGCATTACAGAATTCCTCAGTATCCAGTACAACCAAATGACATCACTTCAAGAACTTCAGCCATCCACCTCAACCAATGATCCACAACAAGGCCAGCAAGGCCACACCATACCCCTCTGCACCTTTCGGGCATCAATATATACCAGCAACCAGAATTTAAGATAAGATAAGCATTGTTTTAAACATAATACAGTACATCCCTACATCCAAATACAATTACAATATTATAATTTTTTTTTTACAATTTTGAGAAGTAAAAAATAATGTTTGCTATGTTTTGTGGGGTTTGACATACATAATCCTTTTTACCCATATGTTCTTCAGTTCATTTTTAATATTTTGACTGTCTTAATCGACCATCAATTGTATATAGAGACACTCCTCACTTAACAACCTACATGTTTAGCGACTGCTCAGCCTTATGACCAGCTCTCCGACCAGTATGCAAACCTAAGTACTGTATATTAGAGCTGATTTCTTCTATTCTGTTTATTACAGTATACAGCACACTACTGCATAAACATTTAAAAATATACTAAAAATTTTATAAATGGTGCAAAGGTGACATTAAAACAATATCTAAAGATGGTTGACACAAATCCCCTACCACGGTAAAAAGCTCTGTTCCACAAGGCACAGAACTCGCTCCCATTTTATTCCTTGCCCTCATTTCTGACATATACAGAGATGTAAGTCATAGCTCCGTGTCTTCCTCTGTGGATGACACCCTGATTACTATGGCAGTGACCTCCATCAAAGACACCGTGAGACTCCAAGCGACATCAATCAAATCTTCAAATGGGCCACTCAAAACAAAATGAAGTTTAACAAGGAGAAATTTCAATTACTCAAATATAGGAAACTTGAGGAAATTAAAAATGTATCAGGGTATACGACAAATTCTAACCATACAATAGAGCGGAAAAGTAATGTGAAGGACGTGGGAGTGATAATGTCAGAGGACCTTGCCTTCAGGGAGCGACAAGGCAATTAATTGTTGCTTTTTTGTTTACCGTCAGATTTCCTTCAGTTTTAGTGCACAAGTCGAAGTATTTTCTCTAGTTACTGTAAATATTTATCAATAAGATACCTCAAACAACAACTGAGAAAACGCTGAGAAAGGACTGATTTACTGAATATGCCCTTTGGCAGGAAGCTTTCCCTATATGGGACAACGTAAGGTTGTTTGGACACTTGGTGCCGAGAGAACAATGCTTATACGAATTTCTCACGGTTTGGTTTCCTCTAAATAACTTATCTTTATTTCACAAAAAAATAAAGTTTGTTAGTTCTTGGAATGTTGCAAAATATCTGCCCTTTACTCCCACATAAATCCCAAAATATTTGGAATATTTCCAAAAATGTACCACCAGTAATTAGAGAAATCATTATTTTACAATTTCTGTGAATATTATTCCACTTAATTAAGTAATAAAGGAGAAATAAAGTGAAATAAGTGAATAAGTTACTTCCAAGATATTGGCCTGGAGCGCCGGCCGGCCCGCCGTCTCGAAAAAAAACAAAAAAAATTGCGAAAATCGCGTTTATTTCGGTGTATTTCTTAGTAAACTGATGTTCTAGTGCAGTTATCCTCTTCAAAACACCGTTTTCTCTTACTCAAAGACGACATGGAGAGGAGTAACTCACTCACATTGAAATATTCCTGGTGGTCTCTCGCCATATTATGGCCTATTTTATTCAGTCTAGAGTATACATGTATAACATGTTTGTATGTTATTTATAGTGTTAATTATATCATATTAGATCAATTCTGATAGATAAATAAGCCGTAGAGTTGATATATAAGCGGGAATACTGCCGAGTGTTCCCAGATGGTTCCTGATTGGCTAGAAGTCTACGTATAAGCTCCGCATACTCTTATATGATGCCAAATAGTCAGTTATTATATTAGAAAGAATAATGCAAGAAAAAGCAATAAAAAACAAGGAAAAATTCCAAAAAATATATGGGCTATGAGCAGACGCGCTACCCATATCGCCGTCACCATACCTGATATAAATGACTATAATTTCTTGTAGAAACATCGTAGAACATTGATTCTTGTACCACTGTTTTGCCAAAGAGTTAAGCTATTTTTCTATATGAATAACTCAATTTCCATAATTTTTCGATTTTTTTTTTTTTGAGAGCGCACGGAAAATTGCCTTGTCGCCCCCTTCAAAGACCACAATAATGTATCTACCTCATCTGCTAGGAAAATGGTAGGATGGATAATGAGAACCTTCAAAACTAGGGATGCCAAGCCCATGATGATTCTCTTCAAATTGCTTGTGCTCTCTAGGCTGGAATACTGCTGTACACTAATGGCCCCCTTCAAGGCTGGTGACATTGCAGACCTTGAGAGTGTACAAAGAACTTTCACTGCACATATAAGCAAGATAAGGCACCTAAATTACTGGGAACGGTTGAAGGTCCTTGATCTGTATTCCCTGAAACGCAGGCGAGAGTATCTCTCTTGCCTGGAAGAATTGGTACCAAACCTGTACACAAAAATCACTCCCTATGAAAGCAAAAGTCTTGGCAGGAGATGCAACATTCCCCCAATGAAAAGCAGGGGCGCAACGAGAACATTGAGAGACAGCACAATAAGTGTCCGGGGTCCAAGATTGTTCAACTGCCTCCCAGGCTACATAAGGGGGGATTACCAATAGACCCCTGGCTGTCTTTAAGAAGGCACTGGACAGGCACCTAAAGTCAGTACCTGACCAACTAGGCTGTGGTTTGTATGTCAACTTGCGTGTGGCCAGTAGTAACAGCCTGGTTGATCAGACCCTGATCCACCATGAGGCCTGGTCTCAGATCAAGCCATGAGGGCATTGACCCCCAAAACCCTCTCCAGGTAAACTCCAGGTAAACCAGTACAGTATGCTCCTTCCTTAACGACCATTTCGCTTACCGACCTACTCTTAGGAACAGAACTCAGTCATTAAGTGAGGAGTATCTGTACTGTAGACCCATCATAAAATGTTTCTTCAACCAAAGAAGGGGAATAAGCTAGAACTACTAGATAAATGCAAATAAACAATACTGTATATGTACAATAAATAAATAACATGAATAAAGATTTAATAGTGCATTGTTTAAGCATAAAGATCAATTAGTTTGTCAATACAGATTACCTGTGCCTGGCTGAGATGCCAAGTGCTGGGAGCCCTGCGATGTAGTGGTCACCCATTTTACACTGCTGGCTGAGAGGTGCCTCAAAATTACACCCAGTCGATGCTGATGAACAGAAAACATTTTGCCAGATACACGCACTGTATTTGGAACCTAAAAAAAATAATATTTAATTGTTATAACTGCACATGGTATCAAGGGTATGCTATACATGTACTTAAAAAAACTGAGTTATGAAACTTTGAACATTAAACCTGAAAAATATTATTAAGAATTCCTGAAAATGTCACAAACACTACAGGCTTATTGTCAAGATATAAGCTATACTGTATATAAATGTAGTACAGTATTCTAACAGTGTAATAAATGATTCATCATGTTTAATTTTCAAGAGCATATTTTCAAGTCCCTACATAAAGTATATATTATGGGTAACTAATTGTGCACCACATACTGTACATACTAACCCTCAAAGACCTGTTTTATAAATACCTGAAAGATATGTCCCAATAAGCAAAATTACCTTTCCTGTTTTTCAAGCCTTTGGTACATGTATCATGAAATAAAAGATTATATACAGGTCAGTCATCACTAATCTGGTATCACTGGGGCCTGTAGTGTGCCGGATTACAGAGTAATTAAGCTAGAATGCACTTAATTAACCTATCAGTAGAGACTCTTTCTGCTACATCGTCCTCATTTTCATCATGGTTTTCTCCAGTGGATTTACAACCATCTGCACAATTTCTGAGTCAGTATAATGATGAAATTATGCTAGCTGAAATTAGTGCCAGATTACTGATGGAACCAGATAACTGATTGCCTTAATCACTAAAATGAAAAATAACTGAATTATTATAGTCTTAACTTGTAAAAGATAAAAATTCCTTTTCTTACCATTTAGCAAACCCTTTCTAATATAGTTAATAAAAGGAATAATAATAAATAATAATAATAATCATTATTTCTATAAGCACATGTACAAGGTATACAGGTCTAGCTAACATCAATGACATACTACTACGTGGAAAGCCCTTTGTTATGCAGAGCATTTTGAGCAAATTAGGTTAATTTTGTCTAAGGATGTGACCCACACCAGTTGACTAACACTCAGGTACCCATTTTACTGATGGATGAACATTGGACAGCAGGTATCTCAAGGAAGCATGCCCTAATGTTTCTAGCCGTACTAGGGATCGAACCCCAGGCCACAGTGTGTGAGCTGTGTGTGCTAGCAGTCAAGCTATAAGAAGAGGCACTACTACATCAGAGGCTAGTTTCCCACGGGCATTTCAAACTTAAGAGGTCAGAACATGTGACACAATGTTTCATCTCCCTGTTCTCTATTAATCATAACTTCTGAATAAAGTATTGCTGTTATTAGATTAGGATGATTTCCTGAAGGGTGCTGTTGGCACTATGGTGGCAGTGCTGCAAATAAGGTAACTGGTGGCATGTACTGTTAGAAACAGTGGTGTCTAGGGACTTGTGACAGCAGGATAGCTGATGCTCCTATGGTGAGCCATGTCAGCATTAACTACTGGCTTACCAGTGCTAGACTCTCTGATCTAAATTCCAGGTAAGACATAAATGGTGCCATGCTGAAAGGGCCAGAATGGCACTTGTCTGATCTGCCATGGAGTGGAAAATGGCTCCATTACTGTCAAACACTGACCTGCCAAATAGACCACCAATACAAGAAAATGGCTACCAACAGGAAAGCCTTGAAGTTCAATTTGATTGTAGATGTTACCTGTATACTCCTCAAAATACTCCATAAGGAAAACTGAATTAAGAAAGATATCTATCCCACAGTATGAATTCTGCTGGGCATGTCAACTGAATTTGATACGAATGTTAGCCATCACCTTAAGATTTGAAAACGCTTCAGTCTACACAAAATCCTGTACACAGAGCAGTTGAAATGGAACATTTAATTTATGAGAAGTAACCTCATAACCACCAAAGACAAATGAGGATGGTAAAGACTGATGCTGCTGAACAATCTGTCTGCAGAACTAGGAAGAAGTGAAAAAAAATTGTATGCAAACTTTCCACCGAAAGCCTAGTCCAAAGATAGCAGAGTCCGCCAAGTGTACTGTGAACAGGCTAGTGTGGAAAGATGTACTGGAGAAGAGTGAGTTGGTAGATGGACTAATCTAAAAAATGAGCAGCAGGGTCCTGAAGGATATGGGTTGGGGAACTTCCAAAATGAGACGGCTGGCAGGCCTAGGTGCCCATGTGATAAGTGCCTGGATGGTTATGAGGAATCATATACAAGAATTGTAGTAACCTCAGTTCTTCAATGTCCCCACCCATCACTGAACCCAACAAGGAAAGGGATATACACAGGTGCCCACTAGATGGCCAGTGAACAGCCTAGAACCTTAAGGTTCAATCTTCCCCTTTCCCTAAGTGCATGCATGACCCTATTTAAACACACTTCCCCACTGCAAACCATCATGTCAAGTGCCATCCCATTAATTTATTGCTTCCCCAAACTGCAATTTGCAGGAGTCACGATCAACAAAGTGGAAAAACTAAAACCAGTGAACTGCGAGTCCAAGTAGAAAATACATAAAGAGCTCAGCATTTAACCCACTACTAGACTTTAAATGAGCACTGCAAGGCCAGCCAATTGACTGAAGTGGGACCAACACTGAACCACTGGTTTTATCTCTATTCATTCACCAAAGTAGCATTTTCACTACTGAAGTCACAGCTCCAGGGACTGCTCAACTCACAGGTGAGTGGAAACAAGGAATATATGAGTCTCCATGCACAGCAAATACATAGAGCACCATTTAATTAAGCCATCCCAAGCAGTGGCCACCCCAATGATTTAACTCCTCCCTGATGCAGACAAGAGGCAATAAAAAAAAACCTGTAATCAAGGTTTTTTTTACCTTTGACAAGTTTTATTTTTGAAACCTATATTTATTTTATTTATTTATTTTATGTCTTTGCAAACAGTACACTGAGATTTTATATTTACAATAGTGGGTTGCAATGCAAAGAGAGCCTCTATCATGCCTAGGCATTATGGGCCAACTTAACATTATTGACCTACAGACTACTTAACACTAAGGATTATATCATAATTGTACAGTAGGATTGTAATTATTTCATAGTTGAACAGTAGATTATTAATTGTAAGTGAATTAATTTGTATAAGACAAAGGATATATTCACATAATCCAAAATGCTTTTTGTGAAAATAATGGTTCAATTATATTCCTGTCAACAATGGAAAAAGGATCTAAGTGATTGTTGAAGTTATGATATGGGAGTACATAGGTGAGTATGTGTGTACTGAGTATTTAGCTTTTAGTCTAGGGTGATTAAGTGGCTTTTGAGAAGAGTCTTAAATTGATTTTCAGACTGGGTTACTTTAATATCCTCTGGTAATGAATTCCATATTTTAGGGCCCTTTACGTGCATAGAGGTTTTACACAGTGTGATATGGACACGAGGTATATCAAAAAGAAATCTGTGTCTTGTGTTGTGGCCATGTGTCCTGTTGAAGTTGGTGAGGAGAAGTTTGAGTGGAGGGTTTATATTTGTGTGTATTGTTCTGTGTATGCAGTAGGCACATGAATAAGTATGGATGTTCTTAATGGTGAGCAGATTCAGATTTTTGAAAATTGGTGGAGTATGCTGGCGAGAGTGGGAATTCGTTATCATTCTTACTCCTGCCTTTTGCTGGGTTATGAGGGGTTTTAGGTGATTGGATGTTGTTGATCCCCATGCACAAATTCCATATGTAAGATAAAGGTATATGAGTGTATGGTACAGTGCCAGGAGAGCCGATTGTGGAACGTAGTACCTTATCTTTGACAGTATGCCTACAGTCTTGGAGATTTTCTTGGTGATTTGTTGTATGTGTGTCCGGAACTTAAGGCTACTGTCAAGGTGGATACCTAGGAATTTTCCCTCTGTGAGTCTGTACTGTATATGATTTTACATACAAAAGCATAAAGTTGTACAGTGGTTCTGAGGACACATATGATAAAGGCTTGGGAAAGAAGCACTAAGAAAGGGGAGGATAGCTCAAATTCCTTGAATCATGAATTGTTCACAGGCATAATATCATCTTTTTGAATGGAGTAGATCATGTTGATGTAATCACTGCTGTTGTTTATAGGTCATTATTATTATTTTCATGGAGAAGTGATGAACCTGTAAGTGATACAGCTCCTGGGAAAATGAAAGGCACTAATGTTCAGTCCAAGGAAGGGAAGTTGAGACCGAGACATCCATTTCCAGCATCAAGTTTGAGGTGTTCGTGGCTTAGTTAACAACATCCTCAAGTTCACACGCTGAGGAACCAGGGATCGCTATCCTGCACGATTGACAAGTTGGACATGTTTCCCTACACCAGTTGCCCCAGTTCATCTAGCTGTGAGTAGGTACCTGGGTAGATTATGATTATTATAAAGGGGAAGCACTAAACCCGTAGGATTATACAACGCCTGTAGGAGGGAAGTGGACAGTATTGCTGCACACTAACAGCACCTTTCAAGGCAGGTGAAATTGCTGACCTAGAAAATGTACAGAGAACCTTCACGGCGCGCATAACGGAGATAAAACACCTCAATTACTGGGAGCGCTTGAGGTTCCTGAACCTGTATTCCCTGGAATGCAGGCAGGAGAGATACATGATTATATACACCTGGAAAATCCTAGAGGGACTAGTACCGAACTTGCACACGAAAATCACTCACTACGAAAGCAAAAGACTTGGCAGACGATGCAACATCCCCCCAATAAAAAGCAGGGGTATCACTAGCACGTTAAGAGACCATACAATAAGTGTCAGGGGCCCGAGACTGTTCAACTGCCTCCCAGCATACATAAGGGGGATTACCAACAGACCCCTGGCAGTCTTCAAGCTGGCACTGGACAAGCACCTAAAGTCGGTTCCTGACCAGCCGGGCTGTGGCTCGTACGTTGGTTTGCGTGCAGCCAGCAGTAACAGCCTGGTTGATCAGGCTCTGATCCACCAGGAGGCCTGGTCACAGACCGGGCCGCGGGGGCGTTGACCCCTGGAACTCTCTCCAGGTAAACTCCAGGTCTCCAGGCCTAATTCAGGAAACTGGAGTACAGATCCAATTCCCTAGATCAAGAGCCCCTCACCAGTGTCGAAGAACCTTCTCTGAGGGGCTGGGTGTTAGTAGATAATTATTATAATCAAAACCAAGCGCTAAGCCCACAAGGGTCATAGAGCGCTGCTGGGTGTTAGTAGTGTTGTGAACCACATCATGGAGGAGAGGATTAGAGCCCCAATGAAAATAAGTCCTCAATGCCCGAAATGCCTGGACATGATAGAGGCTTTGTTTGCACTTAGCAAATTAATATTATAATTACACATTGTAAACTATGCAAGGAAATAAATTCCTTAATATTTAGTGATGTACGAACTTGGCTGGGTTATCCTGGGTTAATAATCCTCCGGGTTAATAACCGTGAACAACTTTTCTTCTACTTTCTCTTTCACTTCTTCGAGACAAGTGCTGCTTTATTGTTTCTTCTGGTGAATGACTTACACCAGATACAACACTATAATGATAAGTTATCGCAATATTCTTGTCCTTGTTGTCAGGGTTACAGTGCCAATATCACAGAATATTACGTTGGACCCAATGGAAATAAGTCACTCTGACTTTTTTGGGTTATCCTAGGTTCCCTACACATATGCTGCTATGTATGATAATTCTATGTAACTGTATTTGTGTTTACCTGAATAAACTTACTTACTTACTTACTTACTTACTGGAGTGGCACTGTGAGGGGTAGCGGGGCACTGTGAGGGGTAGCGGGGCACTGAGTGCCACCAAAACTTTTGACCCGTTATGTAACAGGACACAAGTGCAACTAATGTAACATTTTATTGTGGCAACGTTTCGCTCTCCAGGACTTTCATCAAGCCGTTGCCACAACAAAATGTCACATTAGATGCACTTGTGTCCTTTTACTTAACATATTGTCGGTAATTCTATCTACATTAATACAACTTTTGTCTTGTTCAAGACCCCAACACAAGCTGCTGTTACTGTTGGAGATTGAGTGTAAGTTTATTTAGGTACAGTGCACATAAATCCAGTTACACAAATTATTATACATAGTAACATGTGTAAATTACCTACAATAACCCCAAAAAAGTCCGAGTGACTTATTTCCATTGTGGTCCTTGTGTGGAAAATACTGTATATATTTTCCAGAAATTCAGTATTTATATGTAAATAGATGGCCATACTGTATTTAATAATATTTACGTCATAGAAAACGGAAAGCCTGTGGCTGCGCAGACGAGACTCGCCATCTTGGGTTTTGAATTTGTATTAGAAACGTAATGGGAAGAATTTTTCGTGCTCTAGAGGTTAAAATTGGATTGACACCTCTCAAATAGGAGGCGAAATTGTTGGATGTGCATTCCTGCATAACTTGAGATATCAGATGACTGGACAAGACAGCTCCATGAACCTCAGATAAGCTATCTAGATTTGTTTATAATTCTAGCCAGTTTTCATAAATTTAGTGAGGTTTTTCTGAGTATGATACAACTTAATATCCAGTCAAATTGGTGAGTGATATTAAGATATATTTTCCTTCTGTTATGTATATGTGAATTTATATATAATCATTTTTTAATATACAGTCCACAAATTTATATATTTACCAGTATTCCTGGTGTATGTATATTTCATTTAATTAATAGGTCCAGAGCAACTTGTGGTTATGACAGTGGTAGGTATCGAAGGGGGACATTTTTTGCGGCCTAGGTGTCCCAAATTCCTACTTGTCTATGTAACATTGATAAATAATAATTATCTTTGTTATCATTTACTGTTATGTACATAATTAGTTACATCCAAGTAAATACAATTTTCCACATTTAATTAGCCTGTTGGTCCTTCTTAAACCGGAGGTAATTAGTGAAGTCATTAATTGGTTAATTATTTAATAATTATATGTGAAATGACAGGAGGTGGATGTTAAGTTCACAAATTTATTTAATGTGTAGTGGATTATAATTATTACAATATTAATTTTGATAACTCAAGTCTGGCTAAGTTTATATTAATTTGTATAATATTAATTTGATAAGACAATTCTGGCCAAGATTTATATTAGTGTATGTGTAATTGATAAGCCAGGTGTTGTTAATTATATTAATTTGTATAATATTAATTTTACTTAATGTGTAGTGGATTATAATTATTACAATATTAATTTGATAAGACAATTCTGGCCAAGATTTATATCAATGTATGTGTAATTGATAAGGCAAGTGTTGCTAATTATATTAATGTGTATAATATTAATTTTGCTATGCCAAATTCTGGCAAGGATTTATGTTGAAGATATTGGCCTTACCAGCTATGTTTAATTTATAAATTTAAATATGAACACTTAGCTGATAAAAGACAGCAAATCGTCTACACAGCCGCCCCTGCAGACGAGGTCTAGAAGCTGTCGAAACCATCTCAACATGGGCTGTCAAAAAAATATAATTTGTAAGTATATAAATTACCCCTAGGGGGTGTTATGTCAGCATATTTCATTCGATGATGGCTGACGATATACTTACTTGTTTGGACTCAATGGTCCGCATATCACCGGGGTTTATGATAAGTTTCTAACTCACGAATTTATACTCAACTGCGCAGTCAATAGTAGTACATCACGAGTTAGAACACTTACCTGGGTATATGTATCTGACCCGTAATTACGCCCGGATATCCGTTGAGTTGATTGAAGAATAGTGTTCTTTGAAGAATGTCGCACTACACTCTGTTGGATCGCAACACTCGTTGTTACACTGTTCATCAATAATTGTTCACACAAAGTTATCACTGGAGAAGCTGATCACACTTCTCTTAAGTGTTTATTGTGGTTTATGAGACACTTTGTTCACACTAACGCACAGATCAGTGTTCTTTGTTGGTTATCCTGGCATCAGTGTCACTCATAGAAGAGTCAAAGTTAATCTGGCGACGCCACACCACCCCAAGCCGTCACTGCCCTAGCACAAAAGAAAGCTGACCTAGTACTCCTTGTTTCCTTGCCACTTCCTCGATGAAGCAGAGCAGAATGTTTGATTCTTGCTGTCTTAAGCATAGACAACAATGTCCACTATCTTTACTATGGTAATAAAGTGGGAGCAGGATTTTCCTTAATTGTCCTGCTAAAGTAAGAGATGCACTGTCTCTTATAAAAATACACTTTGCAACACTGGACTGCAAGGAGCAGAGGTCATTTGACCACGCATACGGCATCTGTGATCAATTACTCTAGCAGTAAACAAGATGCTCGCCCCTTCTGGTTAAGAACGATAATAAATTTGTTGAGTTAGGCATAAGAATTAACTGGGCATCTACACTGCAAACTGAATTGTTTGCAATCCTAATGGCGCTAAAGCTAACCTATGACACTGAGCTTGACTCTATCATCATTACTGATTCTATGTCATCATTGAAGGCTCTTGGCTCATATAATGACTCCAACAACATGCTCATTGGGGAAGCCAGGTATAGATACTCAAAAATTAGGGACAAAGGAATTAATGTACAATTGCTATGGATCCCATCACACATTGGATTACTCCTTCATGATAAAGTTGATATGTTAGCCAAGAAGAGTATCGAGGAGAATGTAGAATATAACTTTGGTATAACTGTGTCTAGCATTAGGAATAATATTAGGAGAGAAGTAAATAATGAAAATGATTGTTATAGGAATGCAGTTAGAAGCCTGAGTAGATCTATAACCCACTATGATAACATGAACGTAGATAAGTATGTTTATGGAGCAACTTGCAATGTGAACAGACTGACTGATGTTGTAGTGGCCAAGCTTAGGCTTAGTTACAAGTACTTCTGGCAGTTTGGGAGACACACAGATGATGATCAAACTAAATGTAAATTATGTGATCAGGCATATGGTCACTCTCTTGAACACTATGTGCTTAATTGTCCACTTATTGAGGAATACAGAGACAGACAGTATAATAACCTATGTGACATGTCAAGATATCTTATTAATGAAAATAAGATACCAGATATACTAAGCAAATTTCCTAAATTTGCTTGTAACAGATAAGTGAACTATAGATATGTAGATATAAATCCATATGTATTCCTGTTAACCCTTTGGGGCCTAGTTCCTAGGCCTTTTGTGTATCCATATGCTCTCGCGCTACCGTCCACAGGATGGATATGGGGTGCACAATAAACTAGCCACTTCGGTGGCAAAATCTAAATCTAATCGCCCCTTCTGAGAGGGCTTGGCCCCTCAGGGCTGAAATGGGCTGAAGGGGGCTGATACCCCCCTCCTGGAGAAAATTTCTCCACACTGGGGGGCGGCGGAGGTTCGCTGCAGGTGAACTATTCGTCACTTAACATTAATTTGATTTTCTCACTCGCCACCACTGCTGCTTGTCTTTTCTGAACAGCTTTAGTCTGTGTGGTTTCTGGAGAATCACTAATTTTGTTTTCAACACTGTGTAATTCTAACGGCACTAGTTTATTTATTGTCCACTTATTCACTACACCTTTGCTCAAAACATCAACTGTCCTGATGATTCCATTTGCATCAGGATATATGGTCACAATTTTTCCAAGTGGCCATTGGGACCTCGGACCATCATTGTCGATAATCACTATGTCACCAGGTCTTAAGGACTTATGATTTTCAGGAACACCAGCTCCGTAGAAGTGTTCTCTCAATGAGGTGAGTTAGTCTTCTCGCCAAAATTTTTCCCAACGTTCAATCACTTTATTAAGGTGTTTGAATTTACGTCTGAGTTGCTCAGGTTCGAAATAAGTAGGATCCTCTATGATTTCTTTATCATTCATGGGAGGAACAGGTTCGAGCCTTCTGCCATGGAGTAAATGAGATGGACTTAACACTTCTAAATTGTCCAGATCATCGGTAACATAAGTTAGAGGTCTGTTGTTGACTCTATTTTCTATTTCAGTCACAACTGTACGGAATTCTTCTAAGTCTATTCTCTGACGATGAAGAGTCTTCCTTAAACAACGTTTTACAATGCCGATCATTCTTTCATAAAATCGCGTGCCATGGAGATTTCGGAGGAATGTATCTCCAACGACAACATGCGTTGATTCGCATCTGTTGTACCTATGGTGATCAAAGATCTTCTTATATAAGCCAGCAACCAGCAACATATGGTTCGTTGCATTATCTGAAATCATCAGTCTGGGGACATGCCTTCTGGCTGCAAACCTTCTGAATAAAATTTGATAAAGGTTTCAGCCGACATGTCAAGTGGCTACTCTATGATGTACTGCTCTAGTTGTAGCACAAGTGAAGCAAAACAGATGTTACACTTGAGGGGAACTTGTCAACTGTTCTGGTTAAAATTAGTGGTCCAGTGTTCATCTACACCTGTCACCTCAAATGGAGTGATATGACAACTCTTTCAGAGGGGATACTGGGAGGTGGACCTGGATACTGACATACTTCGCATATCGTAGTGACGCAAGTAGACAGTCCTTTATTTGTTTTTTCACACTTTGTCGACCTTGAGTATCAGTAGGATTGTCGTATATGACAAAAGTGTGTCAGCTACCCCACCATGTAACACGTTACTGTGGGCGTTTTGCACTATCAGTTTTGTTAGCCAATGATTCTGGGGATCAATATTGGTGTATGGCTTCTTTAGGTAGTGAAGAATTATGAATTCTTCCTCGACATCTTTAATCTTTTCTGAGTCGAGATAAAGTCTAAAGAATTAATCATAAAGGTTTCTTTGTGGGATTTAACTTGTGTTTCTAGAAATTTATATTCTGTAGAGAAACGGTCTTTCTGTATTGTTTACCAGTATTTAATGGGTTTCAAGACATTCATAATCAGGTTTTATTCTTTAATGATTCAAAGACAAGAGCGGTATCTCTAATTGTTTACCCAAAGATGGAGTATTTAGATCCATCAATGACTATTTCTGTGTGTCTGCAGTATTTACAACAACTTACATTTCTGCTGTGTCAAGCAGGGACCTGTTTCTTCTGGGCTT